AAGAGGAATCGACGGAGTGGATGTAGGTCACGACGACTGAACCATTATAAAAATCTGGTTTGCTTTACTTTGAGCAATTTACTTTAAACTGTAAACTGTCTTTTCATTACTTGCTATGCTCCTCTTCTTTCATTCAAAGTTAAGCATTTTCGAAATCGATTTTATCGTACAAAATGAAAAAATTTTCGTAACCGACATGATTTGGCCGCTGCACTAATTCACCCCCTCTCTTAGTGCTGACCCCTTTCCTAACAAGTTTTACGAAGACAACTAATAATATAATTTTTCTAATAATAGAAAAAGAAAAAAAGAAAAAGAAACATAATAATCAGATGATAATATGAAAAATAAGGATAATTATTATATTCATTTTGGCTCAAAAAATAATGCTTCTAGAAAAAAAAAAAACTCTTTTGATCGGAAAAGCAACTTATGGCTTTGCATCCGTTAAGATAAGAAAAGAACTCAGTTCATGCATTATAATATTCTAGTAAATTTTTATCGAATAAAGTATAAAAAGATATTAAGATAATAAAAATGACAACCGCATGAAATCAAATATATGATATCATCTTTCCTTCCAAGGAGTTAATATTTTTTATTTGATTTAAAAAAAATTATTTTTCTTTGGGTGATATTGTAGATCGATAATTTTCTATCTTTAAATAGATAAATATTTAACACATTCAAATACCTTAATTTTTTGTAATATTTACTTCTGTTTCGTCATCAAGCAGATGCAAATATATTTCTAAACTAATCAAATTTATTTTATTAGTAAACTAACTAAATTGATCCCACGAAATAGAGAATATTATTTTCTAGACTTATAATTTATGATTGATTCATGTATTTTCGATATCCCACGAAGTAAACTCAATTCAAATCAAACACAAGACCAAGTTGGAGTTCTTCACCTTATTGTTGTTGTTGTTATTATTATTATTATTATTAGCAGACAAGCCTGCTTGGAAGCTGCCGGGAAATTTCGCAAGGGTTAAAATAGGTTCCAAGCCGGAGGAAGTAAAGTACAAGTTTCGGTAGGAGATGGCGATCGCATCTAATCCATCTGCCCAATTCTTAATCACTTATATCAGCCACTCTCCATTCCATCATCCATTGCCAAACAAAAGTGCACGTCGTTGTCAACCATTATCATACTACAAAATGTGTGTCAAGACAAGCTAGTCATTGCCAGAGTCCACCACGGGAAGCTTCTTTGCATGAGACTACCATTTGCAACATGGTTTAGGTAAAGCAATACTGTTCGAGACCAACGAGTCTAAGCTTTACGAACTATCAGTCACCTCGCGAAATCAATCTCTCTTCTTTACTCTCTCTCTCTCTCTCTTTTTCCTTTTGATGTGATCGATCTTATGTATCAAGTTGCTTGTGCACTAAGACGATCGATCTTGTTTGCATGGACGAGAGAGGCCTATCTATCTCTCATTCGATCACTGTTTGGGTTACTATGCATCAACAGAAATAGAATTGCGACCTCCGTCTTGTCCGGTGATGAAGCACTAGCTCTAAACTAGTCAGAAGATAATGCTAAGAAAACACAGCAGCAGTTCGACAGCCACTAGAATTACAAGGCCTGAAAGCTTTCGGGTGTGGTGCATTTCCTTATCACTGTTTGTTCTTGGTGGCTGATCAGAACCAGTGTCTCCTATTCCCCAACTTGTCTTTTCTTTTCTGCAACCATGTTCTTCCCCCTAGTTCGACCCCTCGATCCTGTTCCTTCGTCAGAGAGCAGTTCGTGCAAGTCCTTCTCGAGTCTCACTCTGTATGCTCTCACTGTCCGTCTCTTCTCCAAGTAGTATGAGTGGGGACTAAGTGAAAGTGCATGCATGGATGCATCAGTTACAGCCATGGTTTTGTGCTGCCAACAAAGGAGTGCCAAACACACTACAGACCAGATTTAGCCCGAGCATTGGCTAATAGCCTTGCTAAGGTTAGGATTAATAGAGGGTTTGGGGATGATTAATGTCTACAACATTATATTAATAGAGCAATTTTATCATTTTCGTTTATCTAAAGAATTTCAAATCATTCGCGTAAATATCGATTTAGCTTTAGTATTTTTAGATTCAAAAAACAAGTATATCAATCATGAAAAGAAACTCTATCTATATCAAAGTTTTGATACACAAAAAAAATAAAAGTTCTGCAATATGCAACAAGTTTTAGACTTGCTAATTCAAAAGACCATTTTGTTCCTTGTATCTTATTATTCTCGATCGTGAAAGATTTTAATTTCTTCTCTAGATATGGACGCATAATGTTATGTCGATTAATTATCTGTATTTATATTTTATTATTAATTTTTTGATTATTCTCTCGGTAATACAATCTTCTTTCCTATTACGAGCCTATTATATGATATTTCGACACAAAGTTTCTTTGGACCTCATTTATTGTTGGGTTTTGTCTTTCGAATGAAAGCTTAATTATATTGCATCGTGATTTAGTTTTATATTAAAAGTAAAAAATTTAAACGAGTTTATTATTATATATAATTAATAAGTATTTTGATCAGTGATTCAAACTCACAAATATCAATGAATATTCTATACTTACTAACATTTACTGAGATAGTTGACATGCTTCTTTTTTTGAATCATCCATATATATACTTTATATCAAAATCATATTAGGCTATAACATAATTTTTCTGAATTACCATATTCATTTTAGAGGATTTATGCTTCATCAGGATATAAGTATTCCATTCCACAAGCTTGATCTTTATCAAGAGACATTATTATTAGTAAAGCTAGCTTGTGCTACAAACCATGTCAGCAATGGAGAGTAGAAGAGAAAGGATTAACTAAAGCCACTCCTTCTCATTAACTAGTCACTGTAGTGGAAGTCGGAGATCATGAGATCATCCACAGGTAGTACTGTGGCCATCTTGTACTCATCATCTACCTTCCACAGTGACTCAGAGCAGTCCTCCCACATTGGACAGGGCAATGGAGGAGGACATGCCAAACCGCATTCTTCGGCGGTCAACCCACTGACCGAGTCCGCGGCAGCGATCTCGTCCCATATCTCGTCCATGCTGTATACCTTCACCCCTTCACTCTGCACCACACCTTGTGCCGCTGCTGCTGGTGAACACGACGAGGAGGAGGAGGAGGAGGAGGAGGACGACGACGACGGGGACGCGCTCGTCTTCCGCTCTTGCGCCTTCCTCCTCATATGCGTCCTCCAGTAGTTCTTGATCTCGTTGTCGGTGCGTCCCGGAAGGTACCGGGCAATCCGAGACCAACTGCGGATCGTACACTGTGTGTTCATATAGTCGGAGGAGGAAGAGTAGGGTTGGAGGCCAAACCTGTTGCCCCACTTGGCGTGGAGGTCGAGCACGAGGTGTTCTTCCTCGGGGGTCATGCGGCCGTGTATGAGGTCGGGGTGAAGGTAGTTGACCCAACGCAACCTGCAGCTCTTCCCTGTCCTGTTAAGACCTACAACACGAAGCCATGCATGCATGCAGGGTTAAGCACGGAACTCCCAAGCATCACACAGGTCCCCCGCCACAGCTCAAACCTGACACCTTGGCCAAGCAATCCCACCGACGCTCACCGAACAAGCGCACAAAGCGTACCAGTAGCGAGTCCTCCTGCTCCGTCCACGGCCCCTTCCGCATCTCCTCCGCCTTGGGTGCCATAGCTAACCTCGCCCTTCTTCCTGCTTTCACATATATAGACGGAGGTGATGTCATGGCTGATTCCTGCACTCGTCTGATTCCATGGCGGCAGCTCGTTAACCTCTAGTGGATAGTGGATGCTAATCCACTGCATGATTTTGGAGGCGCCTTTAGCTTGCTAATATATTTGTGGATCGTGGAAGCCACAAACTAGAGGCCAATCACCCAGCACCATCCTCATGTTGCAGTGCCGAGTGCTGACTAATATAGCCATTTCTCGACTCAGAAGAAGTTGGTTTCGCCCTATCATAATCGATGCCGTACCTGTTCTTTAGCTCCACTGTCCGCGTCAATCTTCGGAGCTCCACTCGAGGGACTTGCTACGTACATCAACTTCCATTGGCAGCCAGCAGCTGTAAGCTCGAGCTCGCCGGGTACGATGGTTGCACTGCGTTCATCTTGTTGAGCTCTCTGCAGACATCAACATCCCTAAATAAGATCGGAGGCCGCCGATCGCGTCAAACGACCGTACTGAATCGTGTCAACATCCCGGAGTTTTAGTGCGTGCACCGACTCGAAGGAAACGATAGAACTGGAGAGTGCCATGACAGCGAGGTTGACACGCTACCTAAACCGTATAATATTCTGTGAACGCCAAAGCAATGGAACTCTCGAGCCTCCAAAGATCCAAAAGATGAGGCGCCATGACGTGGAAGTCACCATTCCAATTAGATGTCGGACTTCCTTGTCTGCGTCCGGAGACATGGTACGCTCATCATCTAGAAGTCAGACCTCGATTCCACGTTCAGAAATGTCGATCCAGTCCATGAAATGCGTGCTTAACGCGACTGAGATGGGACGTATCGGCATCCCACGTTGATTATTGTACGGGAAATCACATAAACGTTGTGGTGTGGCTTTAGGGAAAAGGAAGAGCCGTCTGAGTTGCTGCAGATAAATATTCCGACGGGTTAATCGGGTTTCTGAGAGAGCAAATAGATTGTCGGGGCGTGTGTTGGAAGGCACTGTTTGGAGGAGCACCGCAGAAGCACCTGACCGGACCGACCTCCCCTCCCCGCCTTTGTCTCTTCGGTGGTGGCCGTGCCTTTAGGAACCCGGAAAAGGCATCGAATCCACTGCTGCAATGTCGAAGAGGGAGGACGGCCGGACGAACGGAAGACGGAGACTTGGACTGTTGTGATTCTTGAAGGCCATCTCTCCATTCCCAGCATCATCTGTTTGTTTCTTTCTTATACACTGTTATTTTGGATTAGACTCATGTAGATAAATATTTATATTTATAATATCTATTTTATTTATCTCATTTTTATATAATCAAAGTATTACTTTTTAATTATTTTTTAATATATAATATTAATTTATATATTTTAATTAAATATATGATCCAACCAGTTGCATTGGTTGGACTATATCCAATTGGTCCATTCATCTAATCAATGATTAAGTGACACAAGACAAAATAATAAGAAATCAACATATCAATTTTTTAATAATAAAAATATAAATTTCTTGAAAAAGTATTTTTTTTCTCAAAGGTGCTACATGTTTTTATTTTTATTTTTTCAAATGATCTACTATTTTAAATAATATTAAAAATATCCCTTATCGATTTCGATGGTGCTGTTGTCATCCATTTCGGATATATCGTATGGATCGATCCATGAAGTGCACTAATCTAAGTGTATATAATAGATTGAGCTAGAGGGTGAGCAAACTCATTATAGTATTTAGGGTTAGGGTCCGTTAAAGGGAATAAAAATATTTTCAAGTATACTTTATGGTATTCTTGTTATGATGATTAAAATAATGCTAATTTGTGATTCTCATTTAGATGATTTTGTAATAATATATATCAAATTCCTAACTATTTTGATTAGACTTATATTGTTCTTCAATAGTATTAAAATATTTTTTTAAGATACTTGAAAACACTAAAAAGCTATTAAAAAGTACTATAAGCGATCTATATATATATATATATATATATATATATATATATATATATATATATTATGTTGCTTATAAATTATTATGACATCAAATTCTTAGACTTATAGTTAATTTGATTATTCGTTAGGAGTTTATTTAGATAATTTATAGTGTTTTATAGTATTTTTATTATTATAGTCAAAACAATGTAATGGATTGATTTTCGATTCTCGCTTGAATAACCAAACTATTGTATAGACCATATCGATTGGACCATATCATTATACAGATCGATCCATCCACTTGGACTACTCTATCATGCAAATTGGTGTATAAGGTATCTCCAAAGATATTATCATATTATTTGAAATAAGATATTATTTAAGAAAAATAAAAATGAGTAATTTTTCAGAGAGATTTTTCAGGAAAATCGCCCAAAAAAGAAACATATACTGTTCATTAAAATTTGATCCTCATTAATGTTAATGTTTATAGAATAATAACACAATGTGGAGAAATGAATCCATCAATTTGGGCCGGGCTCAAACTTCCCATAAAAGCCCATTCGTTACGGTTCGGCTTCTTTTTCCGGCACTATTCGGCCATTCCTTCTTTACCGAGCAAAGCTTCTGTGGTTTGCCGCGCCGCCGCCGCCCAATCTGTTTCGCCTTCGCCTTCCCTCTCGCTCGTGTGGCTATTCTCCTCCGATGGTCCTCTCGAACAAGAAGCTCAAGAAGAAGCTGAGAGACCTCCTTGCGGAGTCCCAGTCGAGCGCCACAGAGAGCGCCGCCCCGGGCGAGGACGTCAGCCAGGAGTTGCAGACCATCAAGAGTGTCTTAAGCTCCAAGTCCAAGAAGCGACCCAAGCGGCGGAAGAAGCCCTCCCAAAGAGCCGAGGAGGGCGACGAAAACAACGATGCGGGCCCTCCACCCGGTGATTCGAATGAGCAGCAGAAGAGCAGGAAAAGGAAAAGAGATGGGGGTGGCGGTGGTGTCGCGGAGGAGTCCGTAGAGAACGGCCAAGAGGGGAGCGCAAGAAAGAAGAGAAAGGAAAGGAAGAAGGAGAGGCGGAAGAAGGACCAGGAGCATAACAAAGGCCACGGGGAGGAACGTGAGACCGCAGACGTGGACTGCGGCGAGAAAGGGACAGTGGAGGCGAGCAACCTCGAGCAGAGGTACGATTGAACACTCTTATTCTAAATCCGATCTTTGCTTTGAAAAGATTTGTTCTTGATGTGATGGCCCTAAAGCTGTTCGATTCGGTGCTCCTACTAAGTTTGGTTGTCTATTAAGCAGTGGACATAATGCGAAGAAGGTTTATGTTGGTGGCATACCCTATTACTCGTCTGAGGATGATATCAGGAGCTTCTTTGAGGGCTGTGGTACTGTGACCGAGATGGACTGCATGACATTTCCTGAGAGCGGAAAGTTCAGGGGCATCGCCATCCTCACTTTCAAGGTCGGCTTAAACCCTAACTTTTCAATATTGGATTTGCTAAAATGACTGGATATATTTGTTCTAAGTCGATTTATTTCAGTTTGCATGGTCTAAGTCAACTAGTTTCTGATATATGTGCCTTTTCTCCTGAATTGATATTAAATTTGTATCCTGATTTCTGCCAATTTATCTGATATGTAACAGAAGGATGATTCTTGTTAGCCATGAGATGCATGGTCAACTTGTACTGGTTCTGCACTTTGTATCGGGCTTCTTTGTGTTGCACATATTGGACTATGTTTGTCATATTTGTGGAAAAAATATGTAGGTCATTGTTCAATAGTTTTAGGTGTCCAATGATTGCTAGTAAATGCATTCTCTGCACTGGTTTTATAACTTAACAAAACGTTCTTGCTTCTACAAGGTGATTTGAACTGCTAAGACAACTAAGCTGAATTACATCGGACTTTTTGTATCGGTTCTGCAATTTGTATCGGGCTGCATTGTGTTGCACTATTGGACTTTGTGTCTTATATTTGTGTTGTGTGTTCTTTATAATATGGTGGTTTATGGAAAATATCTGTGTCTTCTATCATGTAGGTCGTTATTCAATAGTTTCAGGTGTACAAAAGTGATAGTAGATGTGTTTGTACTTCGGTTATAACTTTGCAAAACTTTCATGCATCTTTAAGTTGACTTCAATTGTTAGACAACCATGCTGAATTATATATTTTGTTATCCAACATATGTTAGCATGAGAAAGATGCATCTAATGAATATTGTCAAGATGCTCGCTCCTCTACTTTTGGAGTATCTGATGATTATTGGATCCTCTTTTTGTCCTTGCCACAGAAAGAAGTACATAGAAGTTATGTGCCCATTGGAATGTTTTAATGGTAAATCATGCCCATAGAAGAAGTGACATCATCAACAGAAACTTGCACGTAGATCACTGTAGCAAGGTTAGACGAAAAAAAAGAAAACATGGAATGAGTATTCCATTGCTTCTGCAATAAGTAATCTTTAGTTGTGTTTCATTGTACATCTTTCAAGCCATACATACCAGCGAAAGTTTGCCTTTAGCATGTATATCTTTTTAAAGCTACCATTTGCATTTTGGCCACTCGGGGCCCTGTTTTTACTTGGTTTTTTTATTACTTTGAATTGCCTCAATTAGAATCTTTGGAAGTCAAATTAATGACAAGGTGAAAATTGTATGATAGTATTTTACTGGGAGAATGTATGGTCAGTGGGATGCTTTACAAGTTTTTTAGATTATGCTTAAAAGCTGAACTTTTTACTGGTATTTGAAATTTGTATAAACATGTAGAGGGCATACATGCAGATTTTGTGACTATTTGGAGGCATGTGCATCAATCGAAAGTTTTCAGATATGTATATGCAAAAACTAAAAGTTCTATTCAGGTGATGTTTCTTTTTTGTTCAATAGTTGTGCAAAGCTTGCTGCTGTGCCAAGGTTACTTCTTGCTCTGTCAGATATATGCTTTCATTGCCTATATGAATCTTACTGATGGAATGGCTCCAAGGATTCATCTGTGTTATTTTAGGGTTAGCCTCAATGTTATACTGACTTGGATGCATAGTTCTGTCTATTGTTTGCATGGTAGCCATTTGAGTTAAATTGTGGTTGATATAAAATCCAGGTCTGCACAGATACATTTGCGAGATGTACACATGTTAACATGCTCATTCACTGACAAAAGATTCTCATTGATAACTGCTGCTCTTTTTCAGACCGAAGCTGCCGCAAAAAGGGCTCTAGCTCTTGATGGTGCTGATATGTAAGAACTTTTCCTGCAGTCATCATTGTTCTGTTCTCTCTCTCTTGCAATTACTAACTATGCTTTCAATAAAATTCAGGGGTGGATTTTATTTAAAGATACAACCTTACAAGTCCAATCGCCTTCATAAATCAGAGTTTGCACCCGAAATTGTTGCAGGCTATAATAGAATTTACATAGGGAACCTTGCATGGGATATAACAGAAGATGACTTGAGAAAGCTCTTCTCTGATTGCAAAGTCACATCCATCCGATTTGGTACAGAAAAGGCCACAGGCGATTTTAAAGGCTATGCACATGTTGACTTTGCTGATAATGCCTCCTTGACTGTCGCATTGAAGCTTGATCAGAAGGTTGTCTGTGAGAGGCCTGTTAGAATCAGATGTGCAGTTCCAAAGAAGGAAGTTGAATCAAAGTCAAGCTCAAAGCCTATCCTCAAGAAAGATAAGGATAGCAAGATTGCTGGAAGTACAAAAAAGAAACGACGAACATGCTATGTATGTGGTGTTCCTGGCCATCTGTCTTCTTCTTGCCCAAAGAAAAGTGCATCTGCAGGCGTTGAGGAATAAGTGATGGATAAGTAGATCCATTAATCACCATTTTTGTGAATGCTAGTTTGGACTTGTGCACTGAATTGCTCTGCAGAGGTTTTCTGATTTGAGGTAAATATTCCTGTAGGATGTGTTTACCAGAATGTTGTCAGCACCAGAAGCTCATTGCTATAGTTTCACATTCAGCTAACCTGCTTCCAGCCATAGCAGAAGAGCTACCAAAAATGTTCAGTACAAAAAGGTTCAACTTGTCAAAGCTGTCCACTGTCAATCTAGGTGAGTTGACTTGCAAACACAACTCTTTAACAGTGTCTCCTCGGAGACTGGAATTGAGGAAGAGGAACATGTCAATCTAGGTGAGTTGACTTTTGGATAAGTGTATCCAGCTGACCATCCTAGCAGAGTTGGTTAGATATATTACCTTCGCAAATGTTTATTACCTTTGCAAATGTTTTCCATATTGTTTTCCCTTCTCTCCTTTTACTTGTTAAGCAAGACAGATGTCTGATGATTGGTAGCAAAAAATTTAGAGGTTTTCCTTTCATTTTCACTGTGGAAATAACATATTTGTCCCTATATCCATTCAAATATTTGGATCATTCATATGCTACTCTCATTAATCATCAAGTAATGCATTTGTGTACATACACGATATACCATAGATACCTACCTACTTTATTAGTGGAGGAAATCTTTGGGACCCACACAAATCCATTCGTGGGACCACGATAGTTCTGACTAGAAGACGGGTAGCTCAGAGTCCAATGCATGGGCGGTTTGGTGAAATATCTGTTGAGCATCACGTACTGCAAAGAGCCTATCAACGCGAACCACGTGCGCCGATTTCACTTGCCCAATGAGATCCGCAGGAACACCACATCCGAACTCTTTATTAGCTTGCCATCGAAATATCCAAACGCAGACGCTCGTCGTTGCTATCTCTGTCCGCTCTTCCCCTCTCTCGCTTCATCCCTTGCCCACTACGCCGTCCTGCGCCAAGGCTTTCTGCCTTCGCATCGATCCGTCCTCGCTGGCAATGGCCGCCGTCGCCGCCGAGGTCTGCGTCAAGGCTGCCGTCGGCGCTCCCGACGTCCTCGGCGACTGTAAACCCTCCTCCTCTCTTTCTCAATCCCTCTCTTGATGCGCTTTCGACCTCCATATCTCGTCATTGATCTCTTGTTGGGTTGCATTTGATGTGTAGAAAAGGTCCCTTTAGTCAGAGAGTTCTTCTGACGCTGGAGGAGAAGAAGATTCCCTACGATACGAAGTTGATCGACGTCAGCAACAAGCCGGATTGGTGAATTATTTGGTCTTCTGCCTGAAAGTTGGGTCTCTAACTTGTGTTCTTGAAGTAAATGGGGTTGTTCATCCTTGATTTTGTCTTAGGTTCTTGGCAATCAGCCCCGAGGGTAAGGTCCCAGTGTATAAGCTGGACGATGGTAAATGGGCTCCCGACTCGGATGTGATCACCCAAATTTTGGAGGAGAAATTTCCGAACCCATCGCTTGTCGCTCCGCAGGAGTACTCATCAGTGTAAGCCTGATGCTGCATTTTTTATTTGTCATCTTATACTGAAGATGTAATAGGTCCTTCAGGAAATGGATGTGGAAAGGCACATTTGTGCTTTGAGGGCCTTCCGATGGTTTTTTATTCAAAACCCTAGGTTTTCCATTGCTTTTGTGGATAATGAACAAGATTTAAACAGAGAAGATGTTGGAAGCCTCCTGCCATAAGGGGACTCTGCCTGCTTTTGACACCTTGCTGCTTAATTTGCAGAACAAACAATAGTTGTAGCATCTTCACTATATTGTCATTGATATCCTTTAGGATACGATTTGTGGGAAATGCTGTCGGATGACAAAACAGTACCAAGTACTATTAAAATACAGATGAATGGGCCTTGTTTCAAATCTACTGGTCGGTTTGTTCGGTTCTATGCAGATTTTGGCTGATTTGGATTGGAAGCACTTTTGACATTTTATCGAAAGATTTATAGAGACCATAGAATGGACAAAGAGTAATAAAAGGAAGAGAGAAAAGGGGTAAATTTTAGTCTGGAAGACAAGCACAGAATTCTTCATTTGCAACTGCCTGCCATACTACTTTGTAGGGAACCCTAGTCAGATAACAATGGAAGGAGTAGTTGGATAATTGGTTTATATGGATACTACACGGCTGAGTTCAACAAAAATAAATTTGATGGGAACTTACTAGAAAGCGTTTTCATTTCATTCATTTGAAAGATGAGTCCCCTCAAACCCATAAGCCTTTTTACGTTGTGTTTGTATTAATTTCATTCTGTTGTTTTCATGTACAAAATTATGCTAGTGGTTTGAAACATCTTTTATTATGGTGTGTGCGACAACAGATTTGTGATTTTGTCTCGCTAGTTGTTTCATAATGTAGGTTCTTTTAGTATCAATGCTAGTTAATTTTTGTTTACAATTTTCATTCAGGGGATCAAAAATATTTTCTTCTTTCATAAAGTTCTTGAAAAGCAAGGATGCCAATGATGGGTTGGAACAAGCTCTGGTTGACGAGCTACATGGATTGGATGAGCATCTGAAACAGCATGTGAGTGTAATGAAGCCTTCAATGTTTTCTAGGTTTCTACATATCTACGTGCATCTACAATGAAAATTTTCAATCCAGTTTGTTGAATTGAAGTTGGTTCTACCTGGGAGATGTATTTCCACATTAAAACTCATTCAATTATATTGGTCTCTAATTCTTCAAATCATGGTTAGTATCTTTTGTTGGCAGGGCCCATATGTCAATGGCGAGAACATATCTGCTGTGGACTTGAGCTTGGCACCTAAGTTGTTCCATCTCATAATTGTGCTTGATCATTTTAAAGGATGGAAGGTTCCAGAGAATCTTACCTATGTTCATGCTTACGTTAAGGTACATTTAAGGTGTTCTTTTTGCAGTTTCAAATATGATATTTTCTGCATATACTGTTGTGCTAAAGCAGAAGGTAACCATTTCGGGTTAGGATTCATCTTGTGTGGTTCACTTCTCCGATATTTTTCATTTAATCTGTCAATTTACATCCCATTTTAATCTATTCTATCTTCTACACTGGATTATAGAATCTTAACCTTTGTGTCTCTCTTATTCAGCATCTTTATAGATTGAATTTCCAGTGTGACTAAGCCTTTCTTTCAGCATATTAGTGTTCTAGAGTAGTCTAGCAATTTTTGTGAGATCACCATTTCAAAGGATTTACACGGAACTGCAAGGCCTTTGTGTTTATTGCTTGGGAGTCTACCAGTCGATTAGTTGCTTTGGTTTTCTCACCTCCTTGATTGGAAAATGGTTTTCTGAAGCATCGTCTATAATAAATTAGTATTCACGGAGATCAGCATGCTATGTACAATAATTATGTCAAGTTGGTAGCAGATGCACGGGCAACCTTATAGTTTCATTTCGGAAGATTGCAGCGTAACTTGATTATTTAACCACGTGCTTGCAAGTTATTTAGAATTCTGTAGAGCATTTTGTGTTTGAAATTTAGGCCTTGTTAACATTGTCATGGTATTTGAATTTCAAATCCATGACCAGCCCAGTTGTTTTGTTTTATTTAAATGCACATGAAACTCTATTTTGTTTATCCCTATCAGCGGAAGCATTACTCACCACAACTTGGAATAGAAAATATCATAGTACCATTCATCTATCCAGTACATATCAGAACATGGTAGTGCCAACTCTGTACAATTCATGCTGAGACACATTTTTCTTTTGGTCATTTCTGATTGCTGGATGACAAAAAAGATTCATGGTTCATCTCTCAGATCATTCGGTCTTCATGTGATCCACAGACATGGAAAATTGATGGTACATTAGGTTGGTTGCAAAGCAAGAAAGCTTAGGTGACCGATAACATGATTAGAACAGGCTCCTTTAAGGGTTTATAATCACCTACAACTGCTGTTTGATCTCTGGACAATAAGATGGAACTTATTTATCTTTTAACACTGTTGATGAGACATCAGAAGCTCGACTCATCCATTGATTGTGGTAATGACATCTCTGCAGCTGCTCTTCAGCCGGGAGTCGTTTGTGAAGACGAAGCCTGCAAAGGATGAGTACGTGATTGCTGGATGGGCACCAAAAGTTAATGCTTGATCTGTGTAGTTTTTAGCAGGAATATGGTTGAATTGCTTTAATTAGTGTGTCGAATCTGTAATGCGCTTAATGTCCTTTCAAGTGCTGCTATTAACTCTTGGGAAAACACATGTTATATTAGCACAATGATAAGGCCATCTGCTGCGATTGAGGTATGTATGATAGCATTCATAACCCTTCCCTTTATTGGATTCGGACAACGTAGAGGATGAGGCTTTAATAAATGGATGGTGGGATTTGAGGGGAAGGCAAGCGGATGGCTACAGATTATCTCTTATAGGCAAACCTTTTTAGCATTTTGGTATCTAGACCTAAAAAATTTACGGTCGAATTTCTATAGTTATGAAAGTAAAATTTCTAGCTTTATTTATTCTTGATTTTATTGATGAAAGTATAAAAATAATAGATAAAAAGATAATTTTAACGTTTCAGTTATGTTTTTTTTATGATGGTAGATGGAAGTGTCTTTAGGGGTCATATGGGTAATTATTGTGGATGAAAGAAAGCGATGGTGAGAGGTGAGATAAAGGGAGAGGAGGAAGAAAATAACGTAAATGTCTATGCTTTACATTTGCGTTGGTGTCGTTCGGTAACTGTGTCGGTACCAATGGTGATGCAGAGTGACATTGCTTTGCAATTGTATCGACGTCGCTCGGATACAGAGTAACATCGTTTTACATTTGCATTGGCATCGATGCATATGTCGAGCGATGTCGCTCTTCCCTGTAACATTATTAGGATTGACGTAGATGCAAAACTGTGTCACTATGCATCTGCATTAGCATCGATACAAATGTTGAGTGGTCCATTCGTTGCTCTACATTTGTGTTGGCATTGATGCAGTTACCTAGCGACGTCAATGCAGATGTTGAGCGTCAGCATCTGCATCGTCCTCTTTCTTTGTCTCATCTTTCGTCGTTGTTCTCTCTTCTCATCCATAACAATCATCTGTGACCCTCAGTTGTGTCATCATTCATTACTATCAAAATCATAATTGAGGTATTAAAATTATTTTTTTGATCATCGTTTTCATGTTTTCATCGTTTTCTAGAGATTAAAATATTAAGGAGGTATAATTATGAGGAATAATATATAATTAGTCCGCTAAAGAAGTTGATGGTCGAATATCATCTATTTCAAGTCTATCATAATGTATGTCCACCATAAAAAAAAGACAGCATCATATCCCGATTAGCTTACCGAACACTCTAGTGTATAATTTATATCCTTTATATAGCATGGACAAAAAAAAAGCAGCATCATCCGATTAGCTTGCCGAACACTCTAGTATATAATTTATATCCTTTATGTAGCATAATACTGACCGAAGCAATTTGACATATTATAATCCGTCGCTTTTTAGCTCCATATCACCTACTGATTCGAAAACAAATACATGTATGTGTGTATGCATGTGTACGAATGAATAAAGTCAACCATTCAATTCTTTGTTGGAATCTAATCGTTGGGTGTGATATGACTATGTTGTCCCCTCGGCCTTGAATTGTGTTAGATTTGAGAGGTCTGACCGAAGACCACGTTAAGGTTCATTGATCTGCTACGCTCGACCGTCTTCCCCACGATGGTGTGCCATCGGATCACGATTAGCTCAAGCGGGGGCAAACGTAGGATGAGCAGACCGTGGAATTTATCTCTGTTGCTCGGGATTCGATGTTCGACGCGGCCACGCCATTGTTGATGCCGCCCGATCGCGTAAACCTTACTCGGAATATGGGACCCACATGGCCCAGATCTATCCTCCAATAAATGGTCAGGTAGTCGTCGGAGTAATCGATCCCTCCACACGCGGCACAAAAGTGAACCGCTCGCCCGCTTTCGGAAAGCTAAAACACGAACCCACGCGGAAGGGGTCGAGAGACGCGTGTCATCACACAATTCGCGTTTGTTGCGTCAGCAAGGGCCCCGCACGCTCCTCACCCACTACTTCCCCTCGCCTTCCTCGACGACGACACCAACCGCTCGAAACGCTGGGTCCCAGTTGGAGATCCAGTACCCAACTTCCACGTCTGCAAACGACGTTAGAAGACGCCGTTAGCTCTCCGTTTGGACACGGCCGCCAAACCAAGACCTCATCTCTTTTATGTTGGGAAGACGGCGACCTCCTTCCCGGTGATCGCCTCTTTGACCGGAAGACGTGTCTCGCCTCTTCCCCCTCTCTCTTCCCTTCCCTTTGGGATTACCGCGACTTCGTTAGTATTCCCAGTATACCCTAAACAAATCATATATCACATGTAGGTCCCTCGAAAGGACTTTGTTGTAAGAATCGCATGCGATTCGGATTTCATAAACGTCCTCAGACATTTATATAATGATAGATTTAGGGGTAGATGTGAAATTTCGTTTAAGCTTATGCTTCTTTGTGTAATTTACGCAGTACGACTCCCGTCTACAAAAGGTTCCAAAGACCAAAGACTTCCTTGCGAACGCCGGACTTTCCCTTCCTTTTGTCCGTTCATTCCTCTCTGCTAATCGTCTCTTCGCCTCCCGTACGCATTCCTTCGCTGCTCTGCTTTCGTTCATTTGGCTTCTGGTCCTCTCTTGTTTTGGTTTCTGATGGCGTTCCCTTGTTTTCGTGTAGGTAGAAAAGAGGGCATGTGTAGCGGCCACCGGAAGCTCTCCCCGCCTTCGGCCAGCGGAGAGGCGAAGCAGCCCTCGTCGGAGACGGCGGCGCTGCTCCTCGAGATCGCCGCCTCCGACGACCTCGCCGCCTTCAAGCGGGCGGTGGAGGACGAGGGCCACCCGTTCGATGTTGCCGCCCACTGGTACGGCCGATCCCCTAGCCGGGGCATGGGCTACCAGCAACGCACGCCGCTTATGATCGCGGCGCTCTACGGAAGCACCGGCGTGATGGGCTACCTCCTCTCCGCCCGGCCCGCCGAGGCCGCCCGCCGCGCCGCCTCCGATGGCGTCACCGCGCTCCATTGTGCCGCCGCTGGTGGCTCCCCCGCCTCTCTTGAGGCCGTGAAGCTCTTGATCGGTGCCGATGCGGACGTCGTTGACGCCCTCGACGCGAGTGGCAACCGCCCCGGGGACGTCGTCGCGCGGCAATCATTGAGCACCGTCGCCAAATCCCTCGGAGTGATCCTGAAAGCTCCTCCTTTACCCGGGCTTTCATCACCGGGCAAAGAAGAACAACCGAAACAAGGGGAGAAGAAGGAATATCCACCGGATTCGACGCTTCCGGACATCAACACCGGGATCTACGGCACCGACGAGTTCCGCATGTATACCTTCAAGATCAAGCCGTGCTCTCGCGCCTACTCCCATGACTGGACGGAGTGCCCCTTCGTCCACCCCGGCGAGAACGCCCGGCGCCGAGACCCAAGGAAGTTCTCCTACAGCTGCGTGCCGTGCCTCGAGTTCCGGAAAGGTTCTTGCCGGAATGGCGACGCCTGCGAATACGCCCATGGCGTGTTCGAGAGTTGGCTCCACCCGGCGCAGTACCGAACTCGGCTCTGCAAGGATGAGACATGCTGCAACCGCCGGGTCTGCTTCTTTGCCCACAAGCCGGAGGAGCTGCGGACGGTGAACCACTCTGCGGCATCAGTTGCGGGAACGTTGTTGTCCTCTCCGAGATCGTCGTCGCCGGCTCTTTCCTCTTTGGACATGGCGATGGCCTTGACGATGATGCAGCAGCCAGGCTCGCCGATGTCCCCTACGGCTTCGTCGGGTTTAGGGGCTGCAGCGGCGTGGATGAATCAAGCGGGCGGCTCGATGACACCTCCGGCCTTGCAGCTGCCGAGCAGCAGACTCAAGGCGTCACTGAGTGCCAGAGAGTTGGATTTCGACCTCGAGCTGCTCGGACTGGAAGGCTATCAGCAGAAACTTGTGGATGGAATCACAAGAACAGCCTCGCCGCGGGCCAACCGGGGAGCAAACACCTTAGTTGCCGCCGCCGCGGCCGCTCGAGCTCCGGAATACACTGACTTGTTGGGGTCTGTGGATCCATCACTGCTGACCCAATTGCAGGGGCTCTCTATGAGGAAGACGGGGGGAGCTCAGTTCCAATCCCCGTCTGGAATCCAGATGCACCAGCCTCAATTGCTGTCTGGATACGGAGGCAACCAGTGTTCCTCCCCTCCTGTGAGCTCGACATCCTCGTTCGGGCTCGACCACTCGATGGCGAAGGCCATCATGAATTCCAGGGCTTCCGCGTTCGCTATGCGCAGTCAAAGCTTCTGCGATCGTGGAGCGACCGCAGGTCGCCAATCCATGCTCTCGGCCATGACAACCGCCGCTGCCGCGGGCGCTACGCCATCGCTGCTGTCCGACTGGAGCTCACCAGACGGCAAATTGGAATGGGGCATTCAGGGAGAGGAGCTGAACAAGCTGAGGAAATCCACATCCTTCGCCCTCCGTAGCAACCATGCCACCTTTGGACGGGTAGAAGCTTCGGGGCCGAACGAGCCGGATGTGTCCTGGGTGCGGTCTCTGGTGAAGGATGGGCTTGGCGCGGGCGAGCATCAGAACGCGGACATGTTCTCTCCATGGGCGGAGGAGAAGATAATGGCGTAGAAGATGCCATTTCCTTTGGTTCTTTGCTTCTTTACATTCTTTGGAATCCATTAAATGTAGCAGTAGTATGCACAATAAGAGTGCAAGTTCTTTCATTCATCAAGCAGATGGATTTATTGACGCAACATGTTATGTATATGAACAAGAAGAAGCATTCTCTTTGACTCCTTTGCTCACTCGTAATCTAAGGTTTTATGAACTGGAAGTGTAGTCCACATATGTCATCGTGTAAAGCTGCTGCACGACATATATGGTTGGCTAGATTTGTTCTATGGAGAAACATACTTCAGTGCTGGCCGAGTAGATTTGCGCTGTATGGTGCTTTGCTAGCTCAACATCTTTTGTCACTGTTCTCAATGGCCTTCTCAGTGGGCACCACCCAACACTAGATGCTCTATTATTGTTGGTATGGGCATTTATTCAAACACCTTGCGTGCATGTCCACAAACTTTCGTTGGTAAAGGTCGATGGAGACACCGAAACAAAAAAAAGGCAGAGGTGATATTAGAGAGAGAGAGATAGCAGAATACCACTTTATTCTTCCTTTCTCTTGCTGGGGTTGATGCTGCAGAACAAATTCCAGAGTGCAGACCTTTTAGCCCCTCGAACGTACACCATTCTCCATTCAAGGCAATTTGAGGTGATAGAACCCATCACACTCCATTTCCTGGTCTGTGGATCACAGCATAAAGATCTTGTTGCATTTATGTTTAACAATATTGGACCATATCCTTTTAATCAAGAGTAAAAAAGATGGGCCACATGCAGCACATAAAAGAAAGGATTTGTATCACATCAAAAAGTTGGCGAAGGTGATGTTTCTTCTACCATATGTCAGCCATCATCCTCACTGGAAATGTTACATTATGATGCATTGTGATGGAAGATTTCAAAAGCATGTTAATCAACAGACAAATGCTCTAGAGATTCTGCAGTTTCCCATTACTGTCATAGTGAACCTAGAAAATAAAAATCACCATAACTCTTAGAAGCAAAGAAAACTGCATTTTTACCTATAAAAATTAAATGTTAGCTGTGCTGATGACATCTTTGTCGCAATATGAACTGATATGAATGCATGCTTAGTTATGTGGGATCGCATGCATGATTAACTGGCAGAGACCTCTCTTCCTTTCGCCCGAGGAGAGAAAATATGCGTCTCGAGAGGAATCCATGAGCAAAAATCCAGCTTTGCTGAATGTGCAGGTTTCATCGACCATGTATTATGGTATTAGCAGTCTGATGGATTTCATTGGGATGACATCAGTGTCTGTGCCACTTTGCTTCTGAAGCACCATTCAATCGAGGATCAGTCTGATAGTAGACGACGTCTCCAATGTCACTAACAAAATGATCACATCCCAAGCTTCTCATTAGGACTCCAAATAGGTGAAATGGCAAAGGTCCAGATTTTACTGGTTCCCTGTAGTATTTTCCGAGAATTGGTTTTGCCGCCTCAGTCTGATGCAAAAGAGCAAAGATTTATAAGCAAGTCCTGTCGGACAAGTCCATGTAAATGTCTATGCGAGCAAAACTAAGGAGAAAATTAAATAGCACTGACCGCCTCCACTAAATGGTAATGTGGTATCTGCGGGAAGAGGTGATGTATCACATGAGTCCCAATATCATGGTGGATATTGTTAAGCCATCCATAATCTCGATCTAGTGTCGTCAATCCTCCTCGAAGATAACTCCATTCCTAGAACATATAATTGTAAATGATTAGCTTATTATCCACATCATTCTTGATCAAGAACAACCAAGATTCCATCTCAATTATCTATCTAGCTTTGAGTAAAAGAGAGTGCTTTATATCGAATGAATGATCAGCTATATGGATCTTCTTCTGCCGCATAGCTCTGCTGAAAAGTAAATTCTTTATGTATAACAATAAAAGTTTAAGTTTGACATGATTAAAGAGAAAAATAGGAAACTTGTTCTAGGCTTCTAGCACACAGAAATGCATCACAAAGCAATTTCATTACCGAAATTAAAGTTCTGATATCTTGGATACTACAAACTTGTTCTAGCCAAAAGTGATGCATGCGATTTTCCAACAACAACTTCATACCTTTCCACGGTACCAAGGAAGTTTCTCCTCATGTCCATGATGATGCAAGTATGTCACCAGATCCAGCCACATGACGAAAATCTGCAATTCAGCATCGGTACCATTCAAATCATCCAAAAAACTTAACTTCCAGATATATATGTAAACGTACAAGAAAAACCTACCCAATATGGAATCCCATAAAGCTTAAGCATCTGAATAGGACCCATCAAATAGGTTAACCCTGCAAGTATCACCACCATCGTTGCGCAGCAGACCGTTGATGTAATCACATCCTTCTTCTCATTAGGGACAAATAAATCACTGCTAGGATGAAAATGTGAGCCAGATTTCCCTGGACTCCTTCTCCACTGTCAAGAGTTATAGATTAAGATTGAAGTCAATTTAGGTCCAAGATACTCAGTAGGCCACACTACAAGAGTCTGCGTGGCTGCTCACCAGGTAGAAGGGGTAAGCAAACATAGGGAATGGCAATGTGAAGCGAAGCTTTCGAGTTACAGCATTCAAACTCCTATATAACTTCTCAGACAACTGCAATGGGACCACGATAAAGAAAGCCCATCATCCGAATCCTTCAAGGGAAAACAACAAGCAATCTCTAGAACAAGGAGTGAGCTACCAACCGGATGCCATGACTCATCGTTTTCGACATGCCCGTGGTTCTGGTGATGCGTCCTGTGGCTAATTCTCCTGCAAGGCTCAACGCATTGTTCGTGTTAAACACCAGCATATACAACGTTTGACCCATCCAGGTTCAGAAAGCTTAGATTGGAGGATAGGAACCTACCATCCATGGTATGGCACGAGAATGGAGGAATGGAGCAAATGCCCAACCACGCTGTTAAGCTTTCGGTCGTTCGAAAAGCTCCCATGGCCACTACCAAGGATCGAAGCTTCGTTAGCAACCCAACAAGCTAAAGAACTCGAAATTTACAGAGGGTAAACGAGTAATGGTTGAATCTGGAGTTTGGTATTTATTCCATACCAATCATGCCCGAGAACGAAGAGGGCCCAGAACATGGTCCCCTGAGCTATCCAATAGAGCGGCCACATTATCCAGTTATTGAGATATGCTGCCGCCACCGCGAGCCCAAAGACGACCACCACGTCGCGCACCACGTAGCTCATCGATCGCCACGGGTCCTTGACCCAGCAATGCCTGGGTATGGCCTCTCGGATCTCCGCCAACCCGAACGGCGGTGGCGTTCCAGGGTCGAACGCTTCCTCCTTCACGCCACTCCCCATCGCGGAACCCTCCTCCAAGGGCGCCACCTGCAACGGCGCGCTCACCCTGAGCGCCCAGGCCCTGCGGCCGGCGAGACCGACAGAGCAACAGAGACAAGAGGTGGAAGAGGGAAGACGGGTCCTCCGCAGAGGCTTGAGTTTAGCGGCAGGCGGGATGCCGGATCTGGGGCGAGGCAAGGCGGCGGGGAGGAGCCTGACTCCACAACCCTGGAAAAGAACCCAACTCGCCATTGCAAAAGTGGCTCCTTTCCGCTGTTAACCGTCCCCTTCTCCCGCAATAGCTGCTCGTTTCCTCCTCCCTCGCCTCTGCTTCCGGTTGTGGTTCCGTCGCAGCAATGGTTAGTAGAGGTGAATTTGAGATTGAAGGAATCAATTACAGAGAAGAGAGAACAGATCAAGGATCGCCCCACAAATCCAAAAAGGGAAGATTATAGTGGGAGCATTGGAGTCAGGGAGAGGCGTCAGATACAGAGAACAAGAGGCGAAGAGCGTACATATATATAAGGGAGAGACCGCGAACGGTGTTTGAACCTTGGACGGGATCCGGCACTTGCGGAACGCCGTCCCTCCCACGTGCCTTACCTGCGTCATCTACGTGGATCCATCTGGTACGTTGATCTCCAACGGCATGCTTCGGATCCAATTCCACGCACGCCAATCTATTGATCCAAAACAGTGGGGCGAGGACGCCGGAACTGTAATCTGCCAATGGGGACGTAACACGTGGTGGAACAAACCATAACATAATCTCTCAAAGACTATTACGTCCAATTTGTATATATTGTATATTGTCCAATCGGTCAATACCCTAACGCACCCATTCCTCTCGAAACCCTAATCTCCCAGGTCCCAAATATTGCCGCCCAAACCCTAGATTGGATGCTCCTCTTGCTCTCCCTTCTCGAGCTTTCAGGTTGCTCGTTGTTGGAATTTGTGTGTGGCACATTTCCTTGACTGTTTCTTCGATTGCAATAGTTGTGGGATACGATTGTCCAGACACATTTCTCAATCGATCCATTCGCCAAAGAAGCCTTCTTTGATTCTATATTTCTTTGGAAAAAGGGCAGATTTTGTAGAGATTTATATAGCTTTAAGGAAAGAAAGCTTTTTTCACCCAAGATTTTGGCTAATATATATAGTTAGGAGTGTAAGAGATTAAAGGAGAGATTTTTTTCTGGGAAAGGGCGATGAATTCTCTACAAGCAACGCACTTGTCTCTCGTTTTTCCTGCAAGAAATCTCCCTCGAGTCTTTGAGCTGGACAGAGGTTACAGATTCGCATGTCGAGTTAAATCTCCAAAGGTTTCCTCATGCCTGGTGTCGGACGCACAGCAGAAGGTGGAGGCTTCTCTGGAACTGGCATCGAGGGAGAGCAAAGAAGTGATGGAGATGGAAAGGAATGTGTTTGTGGGAACGTATGCCCGAGCTCCGGTGGTGATCAAGAGTGGCAGGGGATGCAAGCTCTACGATGTGGATGGGAAGGAGTATCTGGACATGACGGCCGGGATTGCGGTGAACTCTCTTGGGCATGGTGATCAGGATTGGCTGAATGCGGTGGTCGAGCAGGCCAACACTCTTACTCATGTCAGCAATGTCTACTACTCAATTCCTCAGGTACGGTCAGAATAGCTGGGCTGTGATTTTGTTTTGATGAGATTCTTAGGGACTACAATGGATTGCAGCTCGCCGGTATCATATGGTGGGAGTTGTTTGAGCTTATCTTGTTGGCTATTATGTACCATATTCTTTTGGCTAATTGATTATTAGTGCATTGGGCTCTTTCAAATCCATGCAGATTGCTGATAGTACTTTGGGATTTTGTATTAGATGCTAATTGAGTAATTAATTTCTGATTTGTTTGTTTCCTTACTTTTGTCTCTTAGATTAATAATACTTAAGTGCCTAGAAGAAATCTCTCTTGTTTACTTCCATGGTCATCTTCTTGGAAACAAAACTTTAGTATTGTTGGTGTTTTTTTGTGTTCTTAACATGAATCTATCTCTATGTTCTTGTTGCTGAATAACTAACTATTTTTCCTTACCCTTATACCTAGTCTATTTTTTATTCTGTAATTTAAGTGTAAAAATTTACTTTATCCAAATTTCATAGTTATTTGTTCTTGTATAGTTAAAGTGAATGTATTGCAGGTGACTCTTGGAAAGCGCCTTGTGGAGAGTTCTTTTGCGGACCGTGTTTTCTTTACAAACTCTGGAACAGAAGCAAATGAAGCAGCCATAAAATTTGCAAGGAAATTTCAAAGATTTTCACACCCTGATAAAAAACTTCCTGCTACAGAGTTTATTGCTTTCACTAATAGCTTCCATGGAAGGACAATGGGTGCTCTTGCCCTAACAAGTAAAGAACAGTACAGGTTACCCTTTGAACCTGTCATGCCTGGGGTCACATTCATAGAATATGGAAATAGTGAAGAAGCCAAGAAAGCGATACAACCTGGCAAAATAGCCGCAGTTTTTGTTGAACCCATTCAGGGTGAAGGTGGAATTTATAGTGCCACGAAGGACTTTCTACAGGCTCTACGCACAGCCTGTGATGAGGCTGGTGCTCTCTTGGTATTTGACGAGGTAGGCAGCCACAATCTTTGTTCACACAAACAATTAGATCTTTTCTTTTTGAAACTCTTATTGGTTGCATGCAGTAGCTCTTTGGGACATTATTTATTTTACATACTGGCAATTTGAATGTGTCGCTGGTATGTTCATCCATGTCTCCTTTTTAAGAGTTTGTAGCCCATGTCAATATTGCAAAGGATGATTTGCTCTTAAATGTTCTAATTCAGTCAGGCACAAGCATCCATTTGGGTGTCATAGTTCCATGTATTAAAATAGTTGCTGATAGAATTGTAACTTAGTTGGAATCTATTTCCTTATTTCGCCATGAGATCAACAGAGTATGCATGGATTATCGTCAAATGCTTAGGATGCCACATTTGCTTCTACTACTTTTTCTTTTCAATCCTGTTCATATTCCTTTATATGCTTATATACACTGTTGGGAATCAAGCTTCTTATCGTGTTCTGGTTACATTTGTTTTTGCAGGTGCAATGTGGATTGGGCCGAACAGGTCATCTGTGGGCCCATGAGGCTTTTGGTGTGATGCCTGATATGATGACCCTTGCCAAACCCCTTGCTGGTGGTCTACCAATCGGTGTCGTCCTGACCACCGAAAGGGTTGCTGCTGCCATAAGCTCTGGAGATCATGGGAGCACTTTTGCTGGTGGACCACTTGTTTGTCATGCTGCCCTTGCAGTTCTGAATAAAATCCAGGAGCCCAGTTTCTTGGCCAGTGTAACTAGGAAAGGACTCTATTTGAAGGAACTACTACTAAAGAAACTGGAAGGGAGCCCACATGTGAAAGAAATACGTGGTTTTGGGCTTATCGTGGGAATTGAGCTGGACGTCCAAGCTTCTCCTCTTGTTGATGCTTGCAGAGACGCTGGCCTTTTGGTGCTGACGGCTGGAAAAGGGAATGTAGTCAGGCTGGTGCCTCCATTGGTTGTATCCAAGGAGGAGCTGGAACAAGCTGCCGAAGTTCTAAGTGCATGCTTGCCTTCTCTCGACGGTAATACTTCTAACAAATAGCGGCTTCAGGTTGTAAAATATGCATTTTGTATGTACTGTTGATGGTGTCGAACCATTTTAAATCTTGGTTATAAGATTCTAAATGTCCTTATCTTGTGTCTCTTAGCAGAGTATGAAACAATCATATTATGTCCTTCAAAATATTACAGACTGCTTATATTCATAGGCCAAATATTGTTGGATGCATGGTAAATTAGATGCTTCTCAGTTGGGACTGGGTACAGTTGGCAACTTGGCATATCTGATCTATGGTGGAGTTAGGTATGCATAAGAAAAAGATTGGACTTCAAACAAGAAGCAATAGTTACAGATTGTAATTATTGGAATAATGTAGGGACATAAATGCAACAGAAAAGGGATAGATATGCTCCAATTGATGCAACAGTCCAAACTTACCAGACTTTGATGAAGTAGGAAGTTGAACATAGTGATGGATTGTTCCTAACTTTGCTGCATGCCAACTCATAGTGACTGACCATCAGAGGCCATGCCAACTAATAATTTGGATTTCTTAAATTGTATATACATTTTTTAATGAGGAATACTAATTTGTAAAAAATTAAATTAAATGCATTCTTGTAATATTGTTCTAAATTTAATCAAGATATATTAACAATATGTAGACCCAGCTGAGATAGATGACATGTTATCTTCCATAGACAATGATGAAGTCTAACATCTCAGAATCCTTCATCCACATTGCCACTCCAATTTGCAGCAACATGTTTAGCTATCTATTTTCTGTCTCTGTTCATTGAGTCTTGCATCTCAGGATCATAATTCAAACTTGAACTGTGCATTCATCAATGCATATAAGGATCTATGAGTACAGTGAAGGGAGTTATACAGAAGATTCATAAAGGACAAAAAACCTCATTGGCAACTTTTGAACTGTGTGAGATCTATTTTAGGTTTGCTTTCAAATTTTAAGGATTATAAAGCAGTATAGTTTATTTTGTGCTCTGATGAGCAAAAACAAACAATGATTTGTTTATTTATTTTTTATGAAAAAAATATATAGAGTTTTGACGACACCAGTAAATAAAAGATTATTTTTGTAACTTAAATCTTGATCATCCGAATCAGAAAAAATTAAAATAAAAAATATTATTGTGTATTAATGTACTAAATAAAAAAAAGGAAGGATGTCGACAAAAGTATTCCATGAATATTGCTGCACGGAGTTTATTAGAGTGGAAAAGGACCATCGACTCCACCTACTTTGCAGTGTCAAATTTGGCCATCTCCATTTGATACCAACAGCTGCAGCTACAGAGGGTTTACATCCCAGTGATAGTAAACACCAAACTTTGGCTGCATTCATCAGAAAGACTAATTACATATTATATTGATCTTTATATTTAACAAATTTATATTGAGATCCCTATAGTTATGAAATATTTAACTTTATTTATCCTAACATCATTTTTTAACATAAATATGATGGGCAAAAAGATAATTTTAACTTCTCAATTACGTTTTTGGTGATGGCGGATAACAATACTATTGAGGGTCATGGGTGGTTATTATGGTTGCGACCGATGAGAATGACGCAATAGTCGATGAAAACGCTAAAGACTTTTGTGGCTTCTTGCTAGGGAAGGAGAAGAATGAGGAGGGAGGGCAATGATGAAAGAGAGGAAGAAGGAAGAGGAAAAAAAGAACAACATAAATGTATAGCGGTGTTGTCCTTCGCTGGATCGTTGTCGATGCGCGCAACGTAGATGCATCAGCGTCGATGCAGATGCTGAACGATCCTTTCATCACTTTGCACCTACGTCGACACCGATGTAGTTGTCGAGTGGCCCTTTCATCATTCTGCATTTGTGTCGATGTCGTAGATGCAAAGCGGTGCCGCTCTTCCCTACATCGTTTTCAGCATCGACGAAGATGCAAAAGCGGTGCTGCTTTGCATTTGCATCTACATTAGCGTCGATATGCAGATGCCGAGTGATTCTTTCACCGCTTTACATCTGTGTCGCATCGACATAATTGTCGATCGGCCCTTTCGCCATTTTGTATCTGCTCGATGTCAACGCAATTGCTGAGTGTCACTAACGCAAATGCAGAGCGTTGGCTTCTACGTTGTTATCTTCCTTCTCTCTCTTTGACTCACTTATCGTCATCGCTTTTTCTCCTAATCCACAATAGTCATCGATGACCCCCAACAGTGATGTCATCTGTCACCACTAAAAACATAACTGGGATATAAAAATTATCTTTTTCTCCATCATTTTTATATTATTTCTTACGCATACTATATATTCCATCAATAAAATCGATGATATTAGGATAATAAAGTTAAATATTTTACTTTTATAACTATAAAAATTATAATATAATTTTTTTTAAAAATTTAAAAATCGAAATACTTAATAGATCTAATTATATTACCCAAGAGGTCTAGCTACATTACCCAATTAGGTAATACGTAATTATACCTCCACAAGGACAACCTCCTTTTGATCGGTCCCCTCTTTGTTGGAAACCTACTCGTTAGGCGTTTGACTCTTCTTCCTCCCATCTGCATCATCCAATTTGTCTCGGTTGACACGCTTCCCAAAATTATTTGACTCATTTGATTAGGCCGTGCGATATGTGAGCTAAATCTACTTGTTGAACTTTTACCACATTTGGCGTTGGGAGAGAATAATTACTCCGAACAAACAGAACAAGTTATTGCATGTGCAATCTTGAATTCATGCGGCTCTCTCCTTTCTTCTCCCACCAATTCACGCCTCTTCCTCCTTCCTCTGCAGCACAATAAGCTCCCACGTGAGATGAGATCGCCGTCTCACGGAAGCCTCCTCACGATGAAGCGCTCGCTGCCGTACGGAGGCCGGAGGAGCGGCAGGAACCCCGTCTTCGTCTTCGTCTTCCTCTTCTCGGTCTTGCTTTTCGTCATGCTCAAGTACAACGAGCACGTTAAGTCGATGGCCGAGTACTCCTTCGGCAGTGCTACGGCCAAGTCTCAAAGATTAGCCCGGCAAAGGCTCCATGTGGTTCAACTAAGTCGCATGGATGGTGCAGAAGAAGAGCAAACCGTGTCGGAGAGGACGGCGAGTGACTCAGCTGCCAAAGAGCGGCCGCAAGCCGTGCGGGTGCCGTCCGTCAGGAATCCGGTGCAGGAGCCGGAGCAGGCGAAGCCGCAGCGCGCAGTCCTCGACGTGCCGGAGAGCTGCAACCTCTTCGACGGCCGGTGGGTCTACGACGACGTCTCCTATCCCATATACAAAGAACACGAGTGCGCGTACCTGACGGAGCAGGTGACGTGCATGAGGAACGGCCGCCGCGACGGCCGCTACCAGAAGTGGCGGTGGCAGCCCCGCGACTGCAACTTGCCGAGGTATAAATGAATCCACGATTGCCCGATCGCTTGAATCCAGGAGACGCATGAATTATTTGGTTGCCTGTACAGATTTGATGCGAAGGTGATGCTGGAGAGGCTCAGAGGGAAGCGCCTCATGTTCGTCGGGGACTCGCTCAACAGGAACCAGTGGGAGTCGATGGTTTGCCTGGTCCAATCTGCCATCCCATGGGGCAAGAAGACTCTCACCAAGAACGCCTCCCTCAACGTCTTCCGAGCTGAGGTAGCACAAATCTGCAGCCAGAACTCCTGTGAATCTCTGATTGCAGCTGGAGCAAGTCCTTGATGCTGTTGCACCGTCACAGGAGTACGATGCCACAGTGGAGTTCTACTGGGCGCCGTTCCTGGTGGAATCCAACTCCGACGACCCCAAGGTCCACAGCATCAGGAACCGCGTCATCACCAACTCGATCGCCAAGCACGGCAAGCACTGGAAGGGAGTGGATTACTTGATCTTTAACACCTACATCTGGTGGATGAACACGCCCGAGATGAGAGTCCTGTGAGCAGCTCTCCACCCGACATAACCTTGAGCTTAATGGCTGGTCCACCGATGAGCAGCTTCTTATTCTGTGGCGACAGGCGAGGAACGGAGTACAGCAAGGTCGATCGGCCCGTAGCCTACAGGAGAGTGCTGAGGACGTGGGCGAAGTGGGTGCGCAGGAACGTGGATCCCGAGAAGACGATGGTGTTCTTCATGAGCGCGTCCCCCAACCACATGAGGTAGGTCCGCAGCTCTACCTCGTCTCGGGTTCTCTCTCCAATCACTCGGGTGATGGCGACAGGAGTCAGGACTGGGGCAACCCGGACGGGGTCAAGTGCGCGATGGAGACGATGCCGGTGACGAACACGTCGCGGCGGCTGGCGATCGGCACGGACTGGCGGCTGTTCGCGGAGGAGGAGAGCGTGGTCCGGTCGATGCGGCTGCCGGTGTCGTTCGTCAGGATCACGGCGATGTCGGAGCTCCGGAAGGACGCGCACACGGCGGTGCACACGCTCCGGCAGGGGAAGCTGCTGACGGCGGAGCAGCAGGCCGACCCCGCCACCTACGCCGACTGCATCCACTGGTGTCTCCCGGGCCTTCCGGACACCTGGAACGAGTTCCTGTTCGCCCGCATCGCTTCACGGCCATGGCGCACCTAAACACGCAAAACTTGTAATAATCATTATTACATCATTACACATAAATATTCAATTAAAATAAATGAAAAAGATCTTTGGAAATTGGATGAACTTAGATATCAAGAAGAGCTGATGGTTCATCGAAGCAGGACTAGAACAGGGGAAGGCCTTTGCCGATCGATGTTGAATACAATAAGATACTGGCTTTGTCTGCTAGCCATTATTGAAGGCAGCTGATGGTGCTAAGACACGCAGCTGCATATTATTTTGCTGGGTTGGGAGAAACACTTTTGGTGTTTTGCTGTGCGTCTTAACACTGTTTTGAGTATAGACAAAGACCAAGAAAAGACTAGCAACTCACTTGATGGCTTGCGGAGTGGACGGCCAGTGACTTCATGAACATTCCAATTGCCTGCAACTTTGAGACACCCATCCGATAGCTTACTCATTCATGATAAGCACTGATTCATGAACAAAACATTACTGGCAGAGAAGATAATTACCACAAGTCAAAGGATGCCTCCGCTTGTCTCTGAAGCAAATCAGGCAGACCTGTGTGTGGAATCTGTAGCACATGAAAGAAATACCATACAGTTGTGCACGG